CATTGGTGTATAATGCCATTAAGTTCACAAAATGAGTTGAATTCATTTGAAAAATATTCTTCACTCTATCGCTTCTTAATGTTTTAATATTCTTTCCTAATTAATTTTCAACCTCAAGTTTATAAGTATTAAAGGCACTAAAGGCTTCATCCTTATGTTTTAATAAATACACATATGTATACCTAGAACAATCATCAATAAATGTAATAAAATATTTATTACCACCTCTAGTAAGCATGCCATTCAATTCACATATATCTGAATGAATAATTTCAAGTAAACATGTAGATCTTACTATACTATGAAATGGTTTTCTAATCATTCTAGATTTAATACAAGTTTCACATTTTTCTAAGTTATTAGTATCACATTGTATCATGCCACATTTAATCATTCTTTTCATTGTACTAACTCCTATATGTACTAATCTACCATGCCATAAATTAAAGGAATTAACAACATGAGCAAATGATTTGATTTTATTAAAATTATCCTTCGAAGTACATAATTTGACTATTTCATCAATAGAATAGCCTTTTCCAACAAAATACCCATTATGGGTTAGTACAAGTTTTCCCGGATTCAAGAACAGTTTTTATTTCGGGTTTTCCCAACAAAACTCCACTTGCTAAGTTCCTATTCATATCAGGTACATGAAGGACATTGGTCAAAGTTATTTTCTTCCCCCGAAGTGAAAAATGATTTCCACGTTTCCTTTGCCAATCACCTTTGATCTTCCTTCATTTCCCATTTGAATTTATTGACCATCATAAATATCATGGTAAGTTTTAAAGAGTGACTTATCATAGAAAATATGGATAGTTACACAGGTGTCATACCACCATCCCTGAACTTTTCATTAGACTGCATTGATTTCGCTCACCGTAGCGATAATTTCATTAATGGAGTTCACATGTTCTTCCTTCTTTGGATTTTTTTATGCCTGCAATTTCTTGCATAGTGTCCCGGCTTTCCACAAACATAGCAAGGTCCTTTGGACTTATTTTTGAACTTCTCTTGATCCTTTTTAGGGCCAAGAGGTTTTCCCTTCTTCTTATACTTGTTGGTGTTGTCAACATGATCTATGGCATTGGCTTCGAAGAGTCATCATAAGAATTTTCGATCTTATCTCTTGCCCTTGATTCTTCCTCTATGCGAAGATGTTTTTGTATATGCTCCAAAGAGAAGTCTTCGGAATTATGAAGAATCTTCTTCCTATAACCTTCCCAAGACCCCGAGAGTTTAGAAATAATTGCTCCCACTTGAAAAGTTTCGAGAAGTTCGATCTTCACAGCTTTCAATTTTTTGACTATTACTTGTAGTTCATGCACTTGAGACAATAATGGTGTGTTATCAATCATTTTGAAATCAAAATATTTTGAAATCAAAAATTTCTTCGTACCTTCTTCTTCGGCTTTATATTTACTTTCAAGAGCGTACCATATTTCCTTTGCGAAGTAGTGTTGGTATAGAGATCATGCAAGCGATCCAAAAGTGCATTTAGAATATGACCCCCGGCATATCAACTCATCCTCTTTGTAAGAAGGAATTTCAGTTTGTCTTGTCATCTAGTGAAGTTTGCACCGTCGAATCTATACAATCGTACCAAGTCTTGATTCATCATCTTGATGGTTGCAAGTGTTGACTCCGTTTCCATCACAGTAAATTATGAAATATCGTTTGAGAATGTTGGAAAAAATTAAAGCAATGGAAATTGAAATAAGACTTGATCACGAAAATAGTATGGTTGTCCTTATACGATATTTGCCTCCTCCACCAAAGCTTTTGAGGATTATAATGACAAATAGTTTGTAGGATTCAAGTCTGAAATGAAGAACACCAAAAGTTTCAAGTGATTCTTCAAAGTGAACAAGTGAAAAAAGGTATATAAAAGTGATCATATGAAGAACAAAATAAATGGACAGTATTTAGGATGAAATGGAATGATTTCAAGTGATTAAAAAGTTATTTTGGAATGATAATTAACTCATATTTATAGTGATCAATCATTCCCACACGAAATAGTTCCAAACCATGTTGAAAATGTATGTTGTCTCACAAGAAAACCGCCAAAATCATGTTGAAAAGGTATGTTGCTTCACAAGAAAACCACCAAAATTTGAAATTAACGGTTAGATTTTTTCAAATTCATTCTTTTCTATTCCAAATTCATCCATACATAAACATTATAATTCATCAAATTATGATTTTGAACAACAGGATTTCCGACAGCCCGTCCTTCGTTTCAGTTGAAAAGACACTTCTGCCATCTATTAGTCCGAGCCACCTCTACCTCTTCTATCCAAGCAGCTCCAGGTACCTTAATCGTGTCTTACAATTAAGATACTGATTAATTTTATATGATTTTGGATTTAATTTAGCCTTTTTAAAGAGGTTTTGGTGGCGGGGCAATGACTTGGCGAAGAAGCTCGGGTTCGAGAAAGTATCGGAGGAATTCATTGAAGAGTGTAAATCCAGAGTTGTTTTTTATAAGCATAAAAAGACTGGAGCAGAGGTAATGTCCGTGTTGAATGACGATGAAAATAAAGTCTTTGGAATTGTTTTCCGGACTCCTCTATGAGTACGTATATACCTCTTGAATATTGTAAAATGTATACTCCATTGCTTGGGTATACTTAGGCATTTGAGTTATAAATTGCTGTAGTAACTAATAGGCACTTGATAATTTAGATAAGTGATATTTAATCAAGTTTGTTTTGTTAGATTGGTTTGCGGAGATCGAATAGAATACATTATGTAATTCTGAATTAAAAGAGATCTTTCAGGTTAATGATCTATGTAAATGGTGTAATATATATCTATGTACGGGGGAATTCGATTGTTTTTCTGGATTATCTGGGAATTCTAACATGCTATTTGTGCACTACTCATAAGTCATATGCAGTATGCTACGCTTAAAAGGATTTTCTTATTAGCTTAGTTTACACGGGACAGTTGTTTTCTTATTCATTGTTTGGTGTCTGGATGACCGTTTTCCTACTTACAGTGAAGTGGAAGGAAAAACTATTTTCCTTGTAGTAGTGCTAGATGATGCTGCATGGGTGCTGTGAAATAGGTGCCAAGGAATAGTGGCATCCCATTTTTGTGGGAGTAGTCATCTAGTGGAACTTTTTCCTTCCCCTCTTTTTCTAGCGAGTGGCTAGAGCAATTTGTTATGCTCGTTCATCGGAATCACCATAGTCGTAAGATTTTTTTAGTTTAGTTGTCCTCCTTCTAATCTATTCTGTACAGGTCTGTAAATAAGTCTGACAAACTGGCCTAATTGTTGTTATGCAGAAAAGATTCAACCGGTATCCCACACATTTTGGAGCACAGTGTATTGTGTGGTTCAAGAAAGTATCCTTTGAAAGAACCCTTTGTGAATTGTTGAAAGGGGCTTGCATACATTTCTGAATGCACTTACATACCCTGATAGGACTTGCTATCCCGTTGCTTCCACAATTACGAAGGTTGTACTTTATTTTGAATTAAATATAGTAAAATTTCTCCTAGATCTCACCTGAACCTATAAATTAGTGTCTGTTGTCACGCAGGATTTTTATAACTTGGTCGATGTATATTTAGATGCTGTCTTTTTCCCAAAATGTATGGAAGACATCAAGACCTTTCAACAAGAAGGCTGGCATTACAAACTGAATGTACCCTCAGAAAATATAACTTATAAAGGTTGCCTCTAATTTTTTTTATTTTTTATTTTTACCTGTAGTTTTTGTTCTCAATGATATTTCATTTTCTCTTTATAATGATGCCCCCTCACTTCTTTATTTGTAATAAAAAAATTTCATTTATCAAGAAGCAACTATCCAGCTTGTTGACATTGCCAAGAACTGTATCTGTGGCCAACTGTAGGTGTTGTTTTCAATGCGACGAAAGGTGTTTATTCGCAGCCTGACAGCATAATAGGCCGAGCATCTCAACAGGTTTATTTTTTATTCGTGAACTAGTTTAGTATTGAATTTTGGCAACTGTATGACCTGAGAAATATGGTTAGTTCATTAAATAATGTGATTAATTGCATTTTCTTTTTTACAAGCAACCATTGTACTTTCATGCCATAGAAGAGTAAGCAACGACAATCTTGCTAAATATTATAATACTTCTCCGCAGGCTCTTTTCCTGGACTATGGCGCTGACAATGATGGTGATCCATAAGTCATTCCCAACATTTTTTGAAGCTAGTTCTCTATTTCTTGCTTAAGAATGTTACTAATTCTAATGTTGTTTGTAGATGCTTAACTAATGAATTGGTTTGTCGTAAGTTAGATGAAATGATTGACAACCAAATCAACTGTTGCTAGCTACTTCATCCGTGTACTTATATTTGATATTAACAGTGTTTATATGTGGGTGTGCGCACACAGACACACACGGCATTACATGTCATGTCATTCCTGCACCACAGCTCTTCGCCAATTACTAGAATGGATTAAATACTCAGGCAGATTCTCTAAATGATTTAAAAATCTATGATACCTAGAACTTAACATCGGACGAGGGAATTCTAATTAATACTCTTAGCTGAGCTTATGCAGTGAAGCTAATACATATTGGATTGTATGTTCATGGAACATATTATTTTCTTTGTTACTTATCCTCAAGGGTGATGGGGTTCTTCAAGCATTTTTTCCGCAGGAGTTTCATAGTAAGCATTCCCATCACAGCATATGGTTTTACGGAGACGATGACCCAAATGAGCGTTTACACACCTGAAGTGGTATTCTTCTAATCATCTTTTAATTGTTAATAGTCTTTTAGCTATTCAGGATCACATAATTCAAAAGTATAAGCTGTGTGCACAATAATCGTAGATATCTGCCTGAAATTAGTCTCCTCAAGATATTAAGTTCTTTAAATTCCGAAGTCGCAATTTTTATATAAATATCTTTACATGCATGCATATTTGTTCTTGCAAACATGGAACTTCCTCTGATAATTGATGTTGAATGCTGACATTAATAAATTATGCACTTGTTCCTAGGATGAGATGTTCTCTGAAACCCCTCTGGACTTGGAAACTGAACAGGCCTTGGGTTTTAATGATCAGAATTCCTGCTACTTCTTTGAGAAAAATCCTGCTGGGGAGTGGTCTTGTAGATGCTATCATCGGTGGTGGGGTTGAAGATGAGCTCCTTCAGCCTCAGTTTAGTATTGGATTGAAAGGTGTCTCAGAAGATGACATTCACAAGGTAGAAGAATTAATCATGAATACTTTAAGAAAGCTGGCCGATGAGGGTTTTGATTCGGATGCTGTGGAGGCATCGATGAATACAGTTGAGTTCTCTCTCAGAGAAAACAATATTGGCTCATTTCCTCGTGGCTTAGCATTGATGCTTCGTTCCATGGTAAACGAGTGCTTAATAACTGTTCCTTCACTTCATAACCAAACGTGGTTAACCCCCTTCCCCCTTTTCTCTTTCATCTTCAAGTCCGTCTTATATTTTTATTTTGAATTATATCTGATAGGGGAAATGGATATATGATAAGGACCCATTTGGGCCATTGAAATATCAGAAACCTTTGAATGACTTAAAAGCTAGAATAGCCCAGGAAGAGTCCAAAGCTGTCTTTGCTCCTCTAATAGAAGAATTCATCTTGAATTCATCTTTGAAGAGGTCAGAGTTTGGGGGGTTCATCCTTTTGATTTCAGCCATGATGCAATTGCATTTTTATTTTTTTTTTGAGGAAAAACATCAATATATTCCAAGAAGGCGAAAAAAGTGGATACAAGGAAAAAGACCTCCAACACACGCTCTCCAAAGAGAGATAAAGTGTTACCACAGCCCAAGAAACATCCACAAACCACAAAAAATGACCCAGACACATACAAACTATACACATCCCAATACAACCAACGGCACAAGAAGTTGGAAAACATCTGCGACTTTACCAAGGCGAGAAAAAACCCAACGTAAAGTCAACTAAGCACTCAGCACTTGAGCACCCCCGCACGCAAGGAAGCGGGCATTGTCTAGACTTCAACACTGCCAAACAAACCACACAACAAAACAACAACAACCCAAAAACCACAACAACAAAACCAAAGCAAAACATCCAATACACCACCAAACAACACACAACAACAACCAAACACCACCACCACCATCCACGCCCTAACTGGAGAACCAGTCCAAAAAGGCCCGCCAGCTAAGCTCCATCAGCAGCAACCCTCCCGTCGGCCCCCACGGGAAAAGAACACGCACTACCGAGGCCAACCAAGAACCGGCTACACCTCGCTCGCCGCACTTCCCAACCGAAGCCCACACAAGCGCCACCTCCAAAACTCAACCAACCACACCACCGACCACGCCCAAACGCCGCCAGAAAACACCATCCACAACAGCAAAAAGGCGAACCCTGGGCAACAACAAGAGAAACCGGAAAAGAAACGGGGAAAATGGGAAAAAAACAGAAAGGGGAAGAAGGAAAGAGGAAGGGGGAGCCTAAGCTCCCACCTCCCCAACAAGCGCACCGAAGAACCAAGAAGAAACCTTCACCAGATGAAGGGGAAAGAAGCTCCACGGAGGGAGGGGAGAGAAACTTCCACACGCAGGGGAAGACTCATGATGCAATTGCATTTTGATGCCTTGAAATAAAAAGTTCTTCCACATTTCAAGAGTGAATTGCCCAAATAGCTACTAAACTTTACGTCATGCTTCCAAGAGGTTACTCATGAACTTTCAAAATCGCTCAAGTTATCACTGAACTTTGCAAAAAAATTTCACGAAGTCACCGAACTTTAAAATCACCACATTCATCACTGAACTTTGTAAAATGTTTCCCAACTCCTAAGGGTCACTAATTCAATGATCTCCTATGTAACATTTTGCAAAGTTTAGTGATCCCGTAGAAACCTTTTGCAAAGTTTAGTAATGAAAGAGGTGAATTTTAAAGTTTAGTGACCTCGTGGAAACCTTTTACAAAGTTTAGTGATGATTTGAGTTATTTTTAAAGTTCAATTACCCTTTGGAAGCATGGTGTAAAGTTCAGTGACTATTTGGCCAATTCACTCGCATTTCAACCATACCTTAAAATTCAAAAGTGCACGGCCCCTAGTGTATATTACTATTTTATGCTTGCAGTTACCCGGAATTTTTACAAGATCTTGAAGAGAAAGTTTATAAAAATTGGCAAGAAATATCTTCTTCCCTCGAGGAGATACGCATTTACCAAAATGGTTGCCTGATAAATCTGATGGCTGATGGGAAAAATCTTGGGAACTCGGAGAAGCATGTTAGAAAATTTCTTGATATGCTTCTGAACAGTTTCCCAGTTGGATCAGCTGCTTGGAGTGCTCGACTGCCCCTAATAAATGAAGCTATATTAGTACCTACTCAGGCTAGCAAACACTCTATTTTTCTTGGTTTTCACCTCTATGCATTCCTTAGTCAATTTCATTAAGGGTCCGTTTGATTGCAAATGTGGAAAATAGGTGGAAAGAAAATGAATTTCAGGGAATTGAATTGTTTAGAAATTGTTTTACTGGAAATTGTAATTAATTGTGTTTGATTGATATAATTTTCAACCGGTTCGTTTGGCTTTGTTTTTCATGCTAATTGTCAATTAAATGAATATATTTTTTTACCATTGGGTTTGGAATTTGTTGCCATTGCTTAAAAGAAAAAATAATAAAAATAAAACTGGAAATTATTTTCCCACCAAAAAGGTGGAAAAATGAATTCAAGCAAAACAAAGAAAATGTCACCGTGTAAAGAAAATGTGGAAATCCAATTCCCAAGAAAATTATTCACGTCAAACAAGCAAATTGGTGAAAGATGGAATTTGAATTCCTAGTTCCATGTAAAATTTTCCATATCGAACACAGCCTAATAAATAGACTTGAGTAATTTGTACATACAGGCAAATTATGTTGGAAAAGCAGCTAACCTTTTCCAGACTGGATATCAACTTAAAGGTTGCATATGTGATCTCTAAATACTTAAGTAATATGTGGTTGTGGGATGTAGTCTTGTTCAGTAACTAAGTCCAACAGTCCCAATAATTTGTGATTTGGGTTTATCAGGATGTGCCGATGTGGTTCATATTCCTCTACTTTTAGAAATTAAGATTGGCTACTAACTTGCAGTTGATTCTTGATTATATTCCTTTGTTTTGTTTCGCTGGAAGTTTACGACGACTCGTAAAGAGATATAACAGGTTTGACACCCATTAATTTATTTTATGGTTCATTGCAGGATAAATTTTTAACTTCATATTTACACAATAAAATATTCTATACGAATACCAATATTTTTTTCTTACTTTTTAACTATACATTCTCCTAAAAATTACTAGTTAATTTTTTTCTATAATAATGATTGTCAAACAGGCTCTTGGATTAGGAAAAAAAATTGAAGAAAAATTGAGGACCTTCGCTTGATCTTGATATCATGAAGTGTAAGATGAGCTGAATCCCATGGAAAGTGTGATCAAATTGTACTTTTGACGGATTGGATTGGACAAATCCATCAAAATAATATTGTACCTGCTTTGTCGACTCAACACGTTTTTCTATTCACTTCTAAGTTTTGCCAAAGAAACAAGAAGGATCCGGCCGACCATGGCCACAACTCGGAGACCATTGCATAGAAATAAGAAAACCTCCTTAGACAGTCTCTCGCCGTATCGTGATCGTGTGTGGCTTTACTCAATTCTAATAATCTTTATTTGAAAACAAAGAAAATTGCCAAAGCATTTCTGTAAGCATACAATTGAGAACTTACCCTTGATCCTGCCTACCTCCTCTCCATGTATATAAATATTACAGTGTTGATGTACAATTTCATCAACTATTAAAATTATGAGCAGTTAAAATATAGGTGAAATTTAAATACTTGACCTACGTCACGGGTAAGAAGCAATTATTTTCAATAGGTCTTAGCCCTTATATTAATTATATCTATAGCCCTTATATTAATTAGATCTAGCCCGTTCATTTAATTTTGTCTCTGCTCCGTAATGTTGCCATTAATATTATATTATTATTACATCTTTTTCAGATATATAAGTAATGAAAGTTGAAGGCAGTGTTACACTACAAATAATACAATATATTTAAATGAGAGAGAGAGAGAGATGCTCCTGGAAAATGATCAAATTTATTGCACGGAAGTGTTTTGTTTCAATAATAGTACTGCAGGAGCTCTATTATAGAATCCATGCTTAACTCTCTATTAAAGACTTTGCCAACCCACCACAATCTCATTTCAATATAAGTTGCTTAAAAATAACTTTTAAGTTTAAACAAACATACGTGGATATAGGTGTGTTTAAATAGATCGAGTTGAGCCACTCGGCTCTCCTAGTATCGGATTCAGCTCGACCCCCAGGCGACCCGACTCGTGCTAGTTTGCGTGGCAAGCAAGTGCGAGCTAGCTCGCTTCACCAAATATGGGCCCGTCTTTCACCTATTAGTTTTTTTTTTATAATACTTAAAATTGCATTGTCACCCTCCTATGGCGAGCTGTCTCGTTGATCCGGTGAGCGAGTCGCATAAGAAATCCGCTGCTCAGCTCACCTCTACGTGAATATATATCATACTCTAGCTTTTGTGTTTAAGGGTGTGTTTGATCCACATTATTTTGGAAGAATGTATTCTGGAATAGTAGATTGATGGAGAATTTGTGGTTGAAAAATAAGGAAAAGTTATTAATGTGATGAAAAATATTATTTTATTGAAGAATGTGTGGTTGAAAATGAGTAGAAGAATGAAAATAAAAATTTTAATGTATACCAAACAGGGGCTAAATGTGGTTAATTTTTTGAGAATCTTGATACTTGTAGTTGTAGACTTGTAAATTGTGAGAGTTTACTAATTTTTCACTTCACAATACCACTATTTATAACAAAAAATAATAATAATAATAATAACCGTTGCAAACAAAAATAAAAAAAAATAATTAAAAAAATAAAAAAAAAAGTCAGAAATGACCGTTCTGACGCTGCAGCCTGCAGCAACAGGCGCTGTTTTGAAATTTTATTTATTTATTATTATTATTTTAAAAAGCCCGATTTTCCTTGAACCGGCCCGGACCGGTTTCAAGTTCGGGCAGCCTGTGATTCTGCCCACATGGTTCGCGGGCCGAACCACGGGTAGGTTCGGGAGTGGACGGCCTGGGCGGCCCGCCCATCTTGACAACTAAATTTGTTTGTTTATCGTGAAATTATATCGAAAACGAGATATCGATCATATCTTTCGTACCACTCTTTAGTCAATAATCATCGAAATTCTTTTCCATTTATGAACTCACCTTGGCCAAGGATTTTTTTTTTATCAATTTTAGCAATTAAAATGTAGATCATAAACTCTTGTTATCTAAGAATGACGAAAATCACATGATTCTCAACACACTCTAACGATGTCGTATTAACGATTTTTGGCATATTAACATCCAACATTTTTAAAGTATGACTGTCCTCATATAAGGTACTATAATAATCTTAAGTTGAATGACCAATTCCACTATTGAACGTTGTAGATTAACCACTGACACTCTAATAACTATCTATATGGAATCTTTGCATCGGATCTCTAATATTATGTTATCTTAACAAAACATCAACACGTCCATTTAAATGTCACTACATTTAGTTTGTAAGATCAATTACTCACTTCATAAGTGAGAAATGTCACACATGCTTGAATATTCGTAATAACAATATCCGTATTTTGTTACTATTTAGGACCACGGATAATTTAAGATTCAGGTGTGTTTGATCGACATTATTTTGGAAGAATGCATTCTGGAATAGTGGATTAATGAAGAATTTGTAGTTGGAAAAGAAGGAAAAATTATTGATTTGATGAAAATGTTATTTTATTGAAAAATGTGTGGTTGAAAATGAATAGAAGAATAAAAATAAAAATTTTAATGTATACCAAATAGGGGCTAAATGTGGTTAATTTTTTGAGAATCTTGAGTAACGTGTTTAGTATATTATATTATACAGAATTGAAAATGATAATCGACAAATTTTATCAAATTTAAAGGAGGACGAGGATTAATATAATGCACCTTGTGTAGCACGTATGAAACTTCTATTTGGCTAAATGCAAACTGGGGTCTGTGGCTGAAATTATTTACATCTTCTCATTTAAATCGGGAAACAGAATCCTAAGCACATAGGCCAAGAAAAAGGAAAATATGACAAACATATCAGTGTTCAAGTACACTACATATATATCATCAAATCAAGTAATTACAATAGAACCCTTTATTTGGATGTTGCCATTCCACACACTACATGTCTTTCTCTTGTGGGAGCTTAGCAAATTGAAAAGGAAAAAAAACTTGTTAACGGTTTCAAAGTTTCCCTTATTAAGACAACATTTAGAAAAAAATGTCAATTTCTTGATATTTGAATCTTTAGATAAGATGGTTGAACATTATCTTAAAGATAGTGATATTCTAGAGTTTAGTGCTACCATCGCCCCATTCATGAAATCAAGATTTTGATGGTCTAATAATAATTCGTAATTTAATAGAATAAGTTTGTCGAGTAATTAGCACACAACATCCTTATCTTTCAATATTATTGTGAAAAACGTCATTACCTCATTTTTTGGTATTTTCACTTTTCATCGCACAAAATGTCATTTTCACCTATTTTCTCAATTAAAAATTGTGACATGACGAATATACCATTCTACTTAAATAAAAAAAAGACATGCTTGTAACATAGTCCCAAAAATTGTAAAATTATGAATGTACCCTCCTATTTAAATAATAAAAAAAATAGAAAAATAGAGATTTAATTGCAACTATAGTCCCAATTTTTTAAAAAAATACAAACGAGTTTCAAATAAATTATTAAATAATTAAAAAAGTGCAAACAAATCCCACATAAATTATTAAAAAATTAAAAATTTTAAAAATTAATTTTCTTTTTTTATTTAGATATGAAGATATATCCGCCATTTCAAAGCTTTTATTAAGAAATTGAATGAAAATATATATAAATGATAGTTTGCGCAATTAAAGGTGTAATTAAAGGTGAAAATGTCAAAAAATGAAAATTATGAATTTTTTCACAATAATAGTGAAATGTAAGGACATAATGTACTAATTACATTTTTAATAATTTATTTGGGATTAGTTCACTTTTTTTAAAAAAAAAATGAGGACAATGATTGCAATTAGTTCTTTTTAAAAAAATTTAAATATGAGGATATCTTCGTCATTTTACAAATTTTAATGAAAAAATGGATGAAAATGACATTTTACGCAATGAAATGTGAAAATAAAGATGAAAATATCAAAAAATAAAAGGTAAAAACATTTTTCACAATAATAGTAAAAGAGAAGTACGTTATGTGCTACTTATCCGTGTGAAAAAATTAAAAAAAAAAAAAATGTATACACATATATATACACATACGTTTAGCCTTGTTTGACGGGTTT